CAATCTATTTATTTTTGTTTCAGTCCAGCAGGCACTATGAGAACATTTTCATCATTTACAATAGCTATTTCAAAACTGAGCAACCTAGCTGAAAAAGAGTAAACAAACTTTCTTCTCTAGTAGTTGCAAACTATGAATTAAAAAAATGCATGGAAGTGCTACCATTTACTAATTCTGATTACCTGGAACAATATATCACACTTTTAAGATTACTTTTGGCACCAAGGTGCATACAAAGTTCTTCAGAGTATATAGCAAAGTCGTATCCCATGACCCAAGCTTGTGATCAGCTGAAGGGATGATAAATATGATCTTATTCTTTCAGCTTCAGTAAGAAGGAGGCTTTTATACTAGTCAAATGCTTAGCATTTTTTTTTTCCCAAAGATGTTTCCTTGTCCTTCAGAAAATCTGAGCAAAAAGAATGACCTGTTGCTTAGAGAATGCAACTTTTTCTTCTGTATCAGAAATAGTTTAGCTAATCATATTAAATTCACACAAGACAAGATTCAAATATTTCTTGAACATGTTACTTCAATTCCCATTTCTTTGGAATTAAAGACTGACCAAATTTGTAAGCGAATTACAAAACAAACAAGCAAGTAAAGACATCACTCATTATCTGATAGGATAAAACATTGCAATAGTTAAGAATCTGAATGTGTATGTTACAAAAGTGCTTAAGAAATGTGGCTCATTGTTGTTGTTTTTTTTTTTTCTATTAGAAATATTAAGTAGTATTTTTAAAGAAAAGGCTTCTTTCCTTTGCAGAAAAATGTAGTGGTTATATGAACTAGAGAAAATGACCTTTTCTTTAGAACAGAACAGAAATATAAATATAAATCAAAATTAAGATCCATGATTTAAATGAAGGGGTTTTTGTTTGCTGATATTTCAGGCAGGACAAAACAGGTGTCTTAAATTGCTTTGAGATAAATCAGTCCAAGTTCTTGGATGATACTGTACTTTCACTATGGTATGAGCACTCAGCTGTTAGGAAAGGTACTTGCAAAGGCCCTCAGAACCTAGAAAGCACAGGGGATCATTACTAGCCCTCCATCTTGTGGTTAACCTTATTGTTGAACAATCACTTCTACTCAGTGTAATACAAAGCTTGAGTTGGCAGTCTCAACTTTCACACTTCGCTTTCAACACTTATCTAACTCAGAGTGGTAGTCAAATTACCCATTGGTTTATTGTTAAAAGTTGTCACATATGCACAGCACATAAATCTGTGTTATTGTCAAGATACTCATCTTTAGCTGGATGAAAACTACCAGATAACTACTTTGTCCTCACTATGACCTATGTGTCTTGAAATTGCACACAATTTTAAATGAGACCTTAAATATTCATGTGCCATTTAAATTATACAAAATAATCTACAGACATCCATAAAATCTTATGAGTCTGAGAGATATTTTCAGTTACATAATGGCTAGAGGTGACTGGAAATTTTGTCCTTCAAAAAACGGAAAAAAAAATTAAAAAAAAGGAAGACAGGAAAAAAAAATCCTTTTAAAAGTAGAACATGAGAAAAGCTTCACAAAGATTCCCTCAGGAAAAATTCTCATAGATACCTGAAGAGTGAATATATCAATAATGTATCATCATACATTTATAATATGTTCAGGTTCTATTAGGTAACAAATGTTAGTGGTGTAAGGGGTTTTGTGTACAATATACAAGTTAAGTGGTTTTCAGCACGGAATAATACGAAAGACAGAGTAGGAAAGCCAGTTAAGTTGCCTGGATTATAGGTATCCAACTGCTGAAGATTGTTTTCTCAAAGATCCAGATAAATTTGAGTACTAGAAAGGAGAGCTACACTTTGTGTGCTGATCAGCTAATGTAATTGGTAACAGTAGATACCCATAACAGATTTTTTTTGTGCCTGTGTGGAATTCAGAGCTCTTCACTAGGGTTTCCCTATATTCTCTCTAGCTTCCAGCAACTGGCTTCTATCTGGTAAGAAAATGAAAGCAAATGGCCTGATTTTAAAATACTGACTCCTCTGGGGAGAAATGATGGCATCAGCCAAGGAATGCATATAAAATCAATGTCTGTAGTGATAACTCTACTGTTTTATATTCCAAAAATATTTTTGACTAATCAAGGTAGGCATCCATTCAGTTACAGAATAGATGTGATAGAAATCACATTCATACCAAAACATGGAGTAAGTTCAGCCTATGAAGTTCACCTTCTAGCTCCTGGTGTTATTTTCACATTTCCCAGCACCACTGAAGTTATGGTGCGGAACAAAACCTCTAGAAGGTCTCCTTCATCCTTAAGCTGATAACCAGAAGTATTCTAAACAAAATTACCTCATAATAACTTACAAAGACAACATAGATGTTTCAAGAGTTCTCCGCTTGAAAATGGAACACAAAAAGAATCATGTAAGTACAGCAACTTGGCCATTTTCCTTCAAAAATCTTAAGCTCCTCTCATGCTCCAAGGTGCCTTCTGAAGCACTTCCTTATACAGAGCTTTCTATTGAGAACAGTCTTCAGTTCTACTCTTTCTCCCTCTGGTCTTTGCCAGCTCCAGCTTGCACATCACTCTTTCTCCAACACATATGCATTCACTGTGTTTCTGGCTAGAGGAATAAGTCAATCCCCCTCATAAATCAGGATTGCAAGGGCAGATTTATTTCACATCATTCAGCAGTACTACACCCCAAATGCTTCATCACATCCTGAAAAACTTTACATTGAAAAAGTCCAGCCTTTATGAAAGGGTGGGAGTGTTCCTGAGATGAAGTTGTCAATGAAAATGTCTCCTTAAAATCAAACCAAATTTAATATCTCCACTGTATTTCCTTCAAGTTTTACCATACAAATTAAATAAGTGTGTGTTCTGTAATAAGCATTTGTTTCAACATTTACAGAAAATGAACGGTGGACTGACTTACCAAAGTCTTTATATTTTAATCTCAAAATTAACCTACACAGAGCCCTCATAAAGGTACATGTCTCTTACTCTAAATAGACTCTTTCTACATGATATTGTTAGCTCTCATGTATTTGAATTCTATTTTTAGAAAGAGTGAATGCAATAACATTTTAACTATGCAATTTAGCAGAAACAGAACCAAGCACGTTGATTCATGCACCAATTACATTAGAATAGCTTAATGCATCCCTTTAATATTCTAAAGCCTTGTGGGTTTTATAGAGCTATAAGATCTTTTAAGATATTTTCTAGGAATAGGGTCTGGTATAAATTTTCTTCAGTAGTCATATTCAGACCTGATAGCAACATACTGTATACCAGAATCTCAGTAGTATATGAATGATTTTGAAGGTTTCTGGAAAAAAATGAATTTGTTCATTGCTCCTAACCACCTCGGATGTGATGGGGCAGATTTACATTTTTCTAAATTTCCTACCTGCTTTTAATTGTCCTCCATGGGTCTCCAGGAGCTAAGCAGAAGTGAGCAAAACCAAGCACAGGAGATCAAAATCAGTGGAGCAAAATACCATAAAGCTCTAGCTGTGTTTGTTTACTTTAATTGTGATGATTGCCTAAAGACATGAATTTCTCAATCCATAGTATATTCATATTCCTTTTGATTTACAATTGCAGAAGATATGGATTAACATTCAGTCAGGGGATAAGCTCAGTTCAGGGATACTTAATGAGTCATTTCCAAAGTGGTTAAAATTTTGCTAGCAAAATTTCACTAATACACAGCCAAACTCTATGTCTGATTTTTGTCTTTTATAAAGTGCAGTGAATAATAGGAATTAATTTCAATAATTTATATGCTACTTAGTTGCTTGAATATCAGCATGATGAATATCAGAAAAAGATAATAGCTTTGCTGAAACAAACTCATTATATTTGCCTCTGGATTTTTTTTTTTTTTTTAGAAAATAAAAGTGGCACTATCATCTGTATATTGAAAAACTGAAAATTTTGAGAATGTATACACTGTGTTAATTCTATACTACACTGTGTTAATGCTATACTACTTTTTTTCTAATGGAAGCAAACTGAGAACATCCATTAAAATGGAACCAAGTGTGCTACTGGCGATAGGCTACTAAGCCAAGCACTTTGCAATGACACCTAGGCCAGGTTTCAATAGTCTTGAAATACTGCTTTTTCTGCCTGCACATTAGGAAGACTGGCTTTACACAGGGACCAGTCTATCCACAGTGCAGTATGCTGGCAGGGAGGGATGGGGCTGTGAAGACATGGAAGAGCCATGGTGGCAGGGATGTATGCTTGCCTTGAAACCCTGCTTCAGCTCTCACACAGATGAGGGCCCACAGCTGAGGCACTCAGTTTTTATCTCCATGGCAAGGAACCATGCAGGCAGATCTCTGTTCTGCTTGTTGCCATTGGACAATCAAAGGGGAGAATCCCACTTCAGGTTGCCACATCCCTCAGCTCCGGGAGGGAGCTCCCTCACTGCTCAGGAAAGGAGGAGCCTACATGGAAGAAGGGAAGGCCAGTGCAGAGCTGCACATGAGCCTAGGGGGTACTGAGTGCCATATGCTAACGGTTTCTGGGTTATAACAAGGTCACCTGGCCACGCTGCACAGTGGAAATGCAACTGATACCTAATCACCTAGAAAGTATGTTGGGAGTTATGAAGAGTACTACAGAGGCTGGACACTTGCAAGGATTTTCCTCATGTATCAAACACTTGAGGTTCAGGGTTTATAGTCTTGTGTGTTACAAAAGGTCAGCTAGACTGAGACATAAGTCCAAGCAAAAGAAAAACTCTGCTAGAACCTGATGTGCCACAAATAAACTGAAAAATGTGAAAAAGTCCAGACATATTTACTATGTAATTCTGGTACAAATGGACAACAAGGAGTGAGAAAAAGAGCAGAAAATTACAGGGTGCTAGTGATCTCATCTAAAATACTGGAAATGTTTTCAAGCCTTAGATTTGTTATATTACCTAGCTTTCTTGTTGGGCTGTAAAATAACATTTAAAGCTGTCCTGAAATTTCCTAAAACGTCATGTTTAAGTGACACTTACCTGACTCTCCAGCCTGCTCAATGCCCTGGCAGAGTTTTGTGTTGGCTGCACCATCCCCAGCATCCTGCCTGCTGAATCATTACTCAGAACAGGAAAGCACACTGTGGGACCTAAATGAGGAAAAAGCATATGTAATGTGTCAATAGAGCTCTGAGTGTCTCTCAGCCCGTTATTAAGAGCACCCAAAGCAGGAAGTTGCTGAAATTTCGCAAGTAATTATTGCAAATCCCTTTAAGTCTTCTAAATTAAAGGAAAACACAAGACAGACTTTCTGAAATGGTTATTTTTGTCTAGATAATAGAGACTCATCTTTGAATTTTGCAATGTAAAGGGTGTTCCCCCTCAAGAATCTATATTGTCATCAAAAGATAATTTTTGTGACTTCTGATGATAATCAGAAGAGAGGTTGTTGCCCAAGTAGCTAATATTAAAGTCATTGATATCAGTATAATTCTGCTTTTTATAAAGGGCTGGTAGAGATCTCCTGTTACAGCACAGCATGACAATTGCTTTTAATAGTTGCCTTTTACATAGACACAGTACAGTCCAGCTGTGTGGTTTTACTTTCGGTCTCCCTTATCTTGTAAAATAAATTAGAAGAGAATAAATGAGAAGAACCAAGGCTGGGTCAGCAGCAACACACTATACCATTTAAGCAGTGTTTTCATAGTAAGGATCATGGCAACTGTTTAACCCAGCTCATTCCCCATTTCATTTACTTTTTTACAGATGACACAATAAAAGGAGTCCCAATGCAATCAGCAAGAAATAATTTTTTGAAGGAGCCTACTTATGGAAGTTGTGGAAGCTCCATCCTCAGAGGTATTAAAAAATCAACCAAGACTGGAGCAAACTGCTCTAATTTTGAAGTTAGCACTGCTTTAGATGGAAGGAGTGGGAGGCTGGAAGGGGTGACCTGTAGATGCCTTTTCCAACATAAATTATTCAATGAATTAGGCCTTGAATTAAAAAATCTGATGGAGGAGGGAGGAAGAAATATACAAAAATGCACAGATGGGTGATTGTGTGAGCATTAGTTTCCTAGAAAATTAAACTAAACACTGATAATTTCAAAGATATAGGCTAGGAACACAGTCCTATTTCTATATAGGTAAAGGGACTATTGCTTACAGTTTTCTTAGGGCCTTCTGCAGCTGGGTCTCAAACAGTAAGACTCTCTCAGTTGCTCTTGGTTTGGTCAAGCTGAAATTGTTAGAGCTGAAATTTCCAACACTGAATTACTTTCTCAGGCTAGTTATTTTCTTTTAAGTTCCATCATTAAGTTCAGTCATTTCCAAAAATAAATTAGCAGAAATATGCACTTCTTTCATCTAAAGAAAATGCTTATAACCATCTAATTAAAGCTGTGCTTTTTAGTAATGTGTTCAAGTTGGCAGCCCAGAAAACCTGCATAAACTTGGCCAAGTCATGAGTGCCTTAGTTTACATAATTGTGGAAGTGATTTGTTGGCACTGTGTATTTGGTCTCCAGCAGTCTCTTCACAATGAACGTAATCCATCTTGGAAGCTCAGAGGCAGGCAGAACTCTTTGTATTTCCTACAGGAAAAACATGGTGAATGCTGAAGAACAGAAATCTGTGATGCTGCTGGTGCACAGCAGTGGAATTTGAGTACTATGAATGGAAAGCACTGCAAAGAATTAAGAAAGGGTAGAGGTGAAAGGAAGAAGGAAAGGTTGAGTGGAGCATAAGGATTTATGAACACTAAGCATATTCTTCTTGAGAACTTGAAACTCAATCCCATGCTCACTGCTTTCCTATGAGTTCATAATTTTCATAAGGTATTAAATCTTTAATCACAGAAGCTGTGGCTGCCCCCTCCCTGGTAGTGTTCAAGGCCAGATTGGATGGGACTTTGAGCAACCTGGTCTAGTGGAAGGTGTTCTTGCCCATGGCAGAGGGGTTGGAACTGGATGTTCTTGATGGTCCCTTCCAACCTAAACCATTCTATGATTCTATGATGTAACAATTTCCTTTTTCTCTCACAAGATTGATGAACAAAATGGATTCTGTTCACTAAATGGACCAAGCTTTTGAAAAAAACCAGTATATAAATGTCCTTATTTAAACATGAAAGATGTACAGAAAAGGAGACAGAAGATCACAGAAAGAAAAACATGAGTTCAATGAAAAAGGCAGCTGAAAGCAGCCCTGAAGAAGAGTCCCATCCCTGCCTTCATCACCATCTTCGTATGATTCAGGCAAGTTCCTTAACCCATATTTTTCACAAGCGGTGATCATTTTCTAAGTAAGTTCCCTCCTACAAGAAATCTAGGCTTTCAGTTGCTTTGTGTATCTGCCTTTAGGATGAGGTGTTTCATGGTCCCCAAGTATATATTTCTAGTCATAGTCAGTTAGCTCAGATGCATGTTTCTCCAATGTAGATGCTGCAGTTTGAAGAAATGAGTGCCCTCTAGAGAGTTTAGTTCAAAAAAGCATTGAGTTCTCACAGCTGCAACAGAATATACTGGGTGAACACAAGACAATCCTTGAGAGTGCTAAACAATCTCCTAAAAAAAAAATAAGTATCTATTTCCATGTATCATATCCTGGACCCGAAATCGTAGGTTTTTCTAATGTTCCAGTCTTTTTTCAAAGTAAAATTCCCATTTTCTTACCCTTCAGGACTTCAGAGAAAAATGAACTAATTCAAGTCCAAGAAGCAGTTGCATACTATACTGATAGATGCCAAAGAGGGAGGGCAAATAAAATTAATTATTCTGGATTTACAATGTGGTGCATGTACTGTGTAGCAAATCAGACATGGGGCCAGAAAAAAGAATACATGAAATACAGGACATCTGCTTTTCCTGGTTTTCCTTGGTTTTATATTTCTGTCTATATATTTATATATTCTAGCCGGTGTAAAATCACATTTCTTGGGCCTGTATAACAAATTACTGTAAGATATAGTGCAACTAAGGCTGAAGACATTTTTTTTATTAAATAAAAAAAAAAGAATTAAATAAAATGAATGAAAGAAAGCTGTAAGCAGCAAGGCATCATGTAAGCCCCAGTCTGATGATTTCTGCCATCACCAGCATCCAGTGCTGGTCATCACAGGGCAGGATTACACTTGGAATACCCAGGTTGATAACAGAGACCTGTGCAATCCCAGGTGGGCTCCCAGTGCTATATTCCTTCTCATCCTCTCTGCTGCCCAGCAGTGAGCTACACTCCATGTGGCAGCCCTGAGTAAAACTAATCACGTTAACTCAGAACTGATCTAAACTCAGGAATATGAAACACTATTTATTTACCCTGCCAAGAAACAGCATAATGAAAAACTCCACCTAGCAACTACACCATTACCAAAGTACACTAGCAGGGTAACAAACCATACATTTTTTTTTCCTTCCACAGGCTACAGTAGATGCGCCTGCAAGAATTACTGTGACTCCCATTCCTGTGTTCTTAAAAACACACTACATGCACTCATTTTCAACAGATAGGCAGATGTCTAGTATTTTAATGACATTCAAACTGAGGCTCCATGGCCCAGGAGAAAGCCAGTATGGCTTATACAAACAGGTATAAGTAGTTATTTTTTAACAGGTGTGCTTACATTGACACCTTTTACTCTCACAAGCAGGTTGATGGCAGTAACCAGCTGCAGCTTTCAGATGTCAGGCACATAGATTTCCGTGTTCCTGCAACACCTCTCCATAGTCCTGGAAGGGCAGGCAAGGTTCTTACTTCCTTTTGCAGGAAGACGGACAGTTACACTTTGGCCATTTTTTATGCTGCATTGGCTAATTAAGAATTATGGCACTTGTACCAGTGCTGTATGCATTTATCTCTGGCAAGTGACAGAGTTCATACCTGATTTTCCATCATGTTGGTTACAGAATTGATATTATGTTAATAATAATTAGTAACATGTTAACTATTCATAAGAAGTTCATACACTTATGATATGTGAAATTAAAACTTGTCAGTGTTGTTATTCCTTTACATAAAATGGGTTTTCTACTGCAAATGTTGTTGATAAGATCATAAGCTCAACAACTGCATCATCGTATTTTGTATCTGCAACAAACAGGATATGTGGCAGACAGTGACCTGACGTCCCTGATGAGTTCAAGTCCTTTCTTCAGCTGAGACAATAAATTTCTCTACACTGTCCTTATTTATAGCTTAAATAGGAAAGAAAATTACTGAGCACTTGACATTCATAGCCTTCTGGCAGAGACTAAAGCCACGGAAAAGCAGAGTGTAAACCAGTTTTGGCCAGTGGTTTAGAGTATGGTGATTCCTCTACTCAAAAATAAATTACAGCCAGTAAATTATATTTACAAAAAGGCACCCTAAAAATTTGGTAAATTCTAGTCACGGGTGGACTGGCTTTGCAACTTTGCTAGAAGATTTTTTTAACAGTCACAGACTGCAATCCTTCTAGTCTACAGGTATTTTTATAAAGCAGGATCTTAGAAACAATTTTTCTGTGGGTAAAAATATCAGCTGTTTTTTGGTAAAGAATTTTTAAGCATTGGCACTCGAGTTAATTGATAAACTATTAAACTGTTAAGTTGCAATTTATAGCAGCTATAATGGCAAGAATATCAGAGTTATCACCCTGTTCTGCCACTAAAGACATACCTCGTCTGTTATAGCACAAAATACTGTAAGATGGTTTGCAATGATGCATATATCTTGTTACCTGCTGATAATAACCTATCAGCAGTGACAACAGTTTAATTATATTGCACATCTCCTGCTGCCTTCCAAATATTTCTGCTGCTCTTCACTAATTTCTTGGCTAGAACAAGTATCAGTCTCCTTATTTTACACCAGTACATTAATTTATGAATGGAAGACAGAAAGCTTTTATTACTGTCATGGTTTAAAACCAGGCAGAGGGCTCGTTCACTCACTCCCCCCCCTTCTTGCCCTCCCCCTACTCCCGGAGGGACGGAGAGGAGAATCGAAATGAATGCAACTCCCACGGGTTGAGATAAGAACAGTTTAGTAACTAAGGTATAACACAAATCACTACTGCTACCACCAATAATAACAATGATAAAGGAAATAACAAGGGAAGAGAATACAACATCTCACCACCAGCTGACCGACAACTCACCCCCCCCCCCA